CCTGTTTCCTGGTATTTATAAGCAAGTGGCGTTTTTCCGTATGTGCTGGCTTGGGTCAACTTGGTTTGACTCAGTACACCAGATCAACACTGCATTTCCATGATAACAGGGATACCTACTTGAAGAGGTGTCTTTGACGAGAGAGCTAAAGATTGAATGAAACCTTTTTTATTTATAAGAAAAGCCGCTAACTAAGCTCCCTTATGGTGATAAACACATTTCTTCACAATAAAAGTCTTGTTATTTTGTTATTTAAAGTATTTTATTATGTTGTTTTCATCAGCAGTAACTTAACACAACTCCTAAAGCAGATATCTGAAACAGGGACAGAAACAACTAAACTTCAAAACACAAAGATTCAGTGAGAAACCACAAAAGTACTGTGGGACAGAAACGTCTGTCTCTCTGGTTTCCTGTACAGACGGGAGATGAGTCTCGCCTGTCACAACACGTCACTGCAGCCAGCTCGGAGGCAGGTCTGGCGTGCTTTGGTCCTTCTCTGGAGAAGGTCCTTCTCCACTGTAGAATAGCACACTTCCCTTGGGTATAGCTTTCTACTCACAGAAGCCTCTGGACGATAGCCCCCCTCTGGACCTTGAAGGAGCACAGCCCCCAGCCAACAGTCTGAGGCATCCGTCTGTAGGATGAATGGTTGTTGGACGTCAGAGCAGTACAGCTGGCAGATTAGTTAGGTATTAATTTATGGTACCAACCTGCCATGCTGAGGAAGGACATGAGCTGTGTCCTTGTTTGTGGAAGTGGGGCTAGACTGAATGGACCTGAACCTTCTTCACCTGTGGCTTGACGACCCCCTTTTCCAATGATGTAGCCGAGATACTCCGTCTCCGACACTGACAGACCACTTTAAGGTGTTTTAGATGCCCAGTTGTTACTATAAACAACAAAGCCATCCAGATACTCCGAGAGATCTGAGAGACCACACAAGACTCTTTCCACCAGGGGTTTCTGAAGGCTGTCAACTCCTGCCAATAGCCTTCACACAGATCAATGGTAGTGAGGTACTTAGCCTTGCCCAGACATTCAAACAGGTCATCAATATGGGTGGTTGGATATGAGTCAAACTTGTAAATTGCATTCAGATATCTGAAATAAATGCAAAACCTTACTGTGCCATCCTTTTTATGTACCAAAACAATGGGGTTGCACCACTCACTTATCGAGGGCTCAATGATACCAAGGGACAGTATAAGATCAATTTCCTTTTTCAATGGGACAAGAGGCATCTTTCTTCAAAACAATGTGGTACACTGTTATACGGCCAGGGTTGTCCTGAAGGATATCAGGCATACAATGAGACCTCACCTGTGACTGCTGAGCCTCTGAGAGATGATCCATGTTTGGCACTGAAGCGGTATGTACCAACAAATATTGCTCTTCGCAGTACTACATCTCCAGCACTTTCTGGTCAGGCTTAAAACTTCTCTCTCTTGCGGACTGGTCCTATGAAGCCTTCTGTCTGAGCTGTGCAAGCCGAGTCATTTTCTCCAGTTTCTCTCTTACCTGAAGAACAGGTTCTTTGCTGTCCTGGTGTCCCTCCCTCATCTCTTTAAGAAGTGCTAAATGCCCTCTTACCTCATGACCAAATAGCAACTAAAATGGTGAAAACTCAGTAAAAGCTTGTGGCACTTCTCTGTAACAGGTAGGGAACCCACTGGTCTCAGTCAGAGCCATCAGTGTCATTAACAAACGTATGGAGCATCTGCTTGAGTCCGCTCAGTCAGTCCACCAGTTTGTGGATTGTATGGAGTAGTTCTCAAACCTCTGATTCCCAAAAGTTGGAAGACCTAACTCAGTACAAGATCCAAAATAAACCCATCAACCAACAATGAGAAAATACCAATAAGCAAATAGTTGAAATACTAATATAACCCAAACCTAAGAGAAATGAAAACATGCTGCAGTTTTTGATGCAGATGTTGTCGTTCCGAGCCTCCTTGTCCGGTACCGGGAGTGGTCCACCCACTTCCTCTGTGCCTTAAAGGAAACCTTAAACTTAACCCTAAAACAAGTACAAAATATTAGAAGACATTCTAATAAAATTAATACAATTAGAAACTTAGCATAATTCACGAATCAGAATAAACATGCTTAACCAAAAAAAAGTAGATAACAAACACTTCTTCTGACATTGGTTTATTATTACGTTAATATGGAGAACACAAAAAGTACATAATTTATTTTTATTTGCTCAAACAAATTTTTTACTTTACTTTATCTTCTAAATATAATCTATATACTGGCAAAATATATATTTCTGTGCTTTAAATTTCCCATAGCTCGCTCGGGACTGACGACGTACCGATGTAACGTCTTAAACAAGACTGAGCGATACCAAGTGGACAGCTGGGAGGGGGGGGGCGAGGAGAGTCACTCTCGGTTTTCTTTAACAAACGGGAATAAATCGGAAATAATAGCAATATGTAAAAGAATAAAAACAGACAGATTCGTTAACAGCGCTGAAGAAAAGAAGATATATTTAATATATTTATTATATTTTATTTTATTTTTTTTGGGGGGCCTGATTGGTGAGACGGTACACGCCCCCTCCTTCCCACCCCCAAAAAGAAGGAGTGCTTGCGCCCTATAGCGTAGGATGTAAATCTGTAAGGGAACCAGTGAGGTAAGTTACCAAACCTATAAACAAGAATAGCCTCTTATATACAGCGTGTGTGAGTGTGAGTGCTGTGTTTCGTCCTGTACGGTCGGACGGCAAACACACAGGGTCATATTGTTACAGCTTTTTATTGCCTTTGTTTGTGTTTAATCCAAACTGGCTCACAAAACACAAAGACCGGCATAAAAAAAAACCAGCAGTAAGGATCCGACTTCCTCATCTGGATTGACTTTCTGCCAGTGGCTGTAATAACGCGCACACATACCGGTTACTAATCTGTATCTGAGTGTTTGTTGTTGTTTTGTGTCTTTTTCTGTTTGAAGTATTTGCTTCAATGTATCGTTTTTAAACACACTGAACCCTGCTGCTCTCATGTGGGGCTGCAGGCTGCAGCACCGTGCATGTACTGGATGGGGGGGGGGACCCTGCAAGGAAGGAGGCTGTAGTGTGAATGAATGAATGAATGGACTGTGGGACTCTGTGTGTGTTTGTTTTTCTTCAAGTAGAAGTAATAGGTGGTGTTATGTTTGAAGGTCTTTTTAAGTTTTCTTGGTAGTGAAGAGGGAAACGTGCTCAGGGCTGGGAGGGAAGGAGGGAGGGAGGGAGACGTTCGCGGCAACAAAACTGGACAACGCGAGATTTCATTTAAGTTTTCCATACATTGAAGGGGGAAAAGGGGAGGAGATAGAGAGACAGCAGCAGCAGCGTGCAAGTGGCCTGTTGGTTAGTACATAGATAATATAAATGCCTCTGTGAGCGCCGCTATACGTCTGCGCGGTCGCCATGTTGGAGAGGTGAAGATCTGCTGGTTGACTATGCTGAGAGATGCAGACTGTGCTGCAAAAAGCTCCTGTAACTCGGTTAATGCTGAACTGATTTTCATGAGATTTGGTTTGTTTTGAATGTGAGAAACTGAGCGTGATATTGGAGTTCATTAAGTTACAAGGAGGGTGGATGTAATCAACTCTATGGCCCCCAAAACAATAACCTGATTGTTAACAACTTCCACTGGGAACTGCTGCAACAGGCAACAGCTTCTCTAAATAAAAACTGATTTCTAGATCTATTATACTGTTATAAAGACACCTGGTTGCTTGTTTTTGTGATATATTAATAAATATAATTCAACAGGTGAATTATTTTTCCTACACATTTCTTTTCTTGCCGGTTTCCTGAGCTAGACTGTAATTTGAAGCCCAACATAGATAGATAGATAGATAGAGACTTTATTTATCCCGAGGGAAATTCGAGTAACATGAGTTCATACTTTATGCCTCACCTCACAAACACACTAGTACACATGTATTCATAAGGCCTGACTGGCAGTGGCTGGGTTCTTTGTTATCAGTGCACTGTTTTAAATATTTAAAATTGTTTGAATTTGCAAACGTCCATGCCTGCAGCGTTTTCCCAACAGGTGATGGCATAGAGCCACCAGTGGTAGGTTTAATCTCTTATGTTTATAACAAACCAGATTTCATGATAATTGCTTCAGAATTAAGCGAGTTGTTCTGTAGTGAAATCTCTCACTCATGTTAAAGGACCAGCGTGTAGGATTTAGTGTCATCTAGCAGTGTAGTTGCAGATCTCAACTCCATCGCTTCACCCTCACTTTTCCAAGCACGGAGGAGAAACTAAGGTGGTCGTGAAACTTGCAAAAACCAACATGAGCCTCAATCTAGAGCCAGTGTTTGGTTTGTCCATTCTCGGCTACTGTAGAAACATGGTGGACTTTATAGAAGAGGACCCGCTCACAGCGAAAACACAACTATACACTAATGAAAACATACCTGTAAATATTATATTCCATCTCTGCCTTTTTGATCCTCCTAAATGTTACACACTGGACCTTTAATCAGCAGATCTTGACCTCTCCAATGTGTTCAAATCGAGAGCGCATTATCTAAGTTTCTATATCTATTAGTACTCGGCAACAGCACAGCTCAGAGTCAAATGTTCTGTTACGAGTACAAGAAACAAACGTGAAGCTTATTTGACAGAGAGCCCTCAGCCTTTATCCCCACATTGAAACAAAAGGGGATTAGAACCCACCCACCACCCCTGGAAGTCAGTCATGGGATAGAGGTCAATACCAGCTTTGGTGGTACTGACAGCCATGTTTTCTAGTGAATAATAGTGTGAAACAAAAACAAGTTTGCGTAAGGCTCGCATCCAGGCAAATTAAGATATAGATCATTGCAGGTGTCAGAATTGTATGAATAATATAGTAGAAACTGCGTTGTTGCTGGCGGCATTGGCTCACAGAACATCTGGTGTGTGGTGTTCACATTTAAACACAGGACTCAACCAAGCTTAATACAAATTAATATAATATTACGAATAAGAAAACCACCAGATGAATGAAGGATTATTCACTGTAGTGCTTTCGTGCGAAGAGCTTAATCATTTTCCTCTCATTTCCATACAAACACAGAAGCACACTCACACTGTTGGCAGATAGCTGCATGAGAAGGTGGAGCCCTGACCATCTGATGCAAATTTGGGTTCAGTGTTCGGAGCCGCAGATAAAATCACCAACACTACGATTAGTGGGTGACCTGCTCTACCACAGACACGCAACAACCAAATGGTATTTTATGTTCGGGACAGATGGGAACATGATCATAAGTTGACTATGATTATACTGTTTTAATTACCTAATCAATCATTCGTAATATTATTTTTTTAAAATGTGATTGTTTTCTAGAGCTGCAAGATGGCGAGTACAGAGGTTGTGACTCCAGACTTCGCCCAGGATAAATCCAGTCGCATTTATTTAGTGACCTGGGTCAACGACCTGCTGAAGACCAACTTTAAAGATGTGCAGGAGATGGGTTCAGGTCAGTGTGAACAGAACTAATGCAGCTTTTGGTGTAGCCCGCTTTGCTCCTGTGTCTGTTGATACTTGCAGATATCAACTTTAATTTTCTCTTAAGTGATCGATTTACAGTCTCATTACAGCTGTAGTTGAGCCGTGTGAAGTTACTGCTAATTTCCTGCTGTTGCTTCGTATTAAATTAGGCTTTTATTGTGAAGCAGCCATAGATAATGCAGTGTACTTATTTAAAAACAAAAGGTCTACACTGCAGTTAGAGGTCTTCAAGAAACAGAAACACCCACAGTGAGCTGTTGGATGGAGGATCTGTGTTGTACACATTTGGTCTATGTGACTATAAGAGTGTTCATTTTCTGAACGGTCTTTTATGTGTCTATGATCCTACAGGTGCGTGTCACTGTCAGATCATGGACTGGGTTTTTCCTGGGTCTGTTGACATGACCAAGGTGAAGTTTGATGCACAAGGTGAGGATGAGTGCAAGCACAACTTCAGTCTCCTCCATGAGGCCTTCAGCAAGAAGGGTATCACAAGGGTATGCACTGTTTCTCTAGTAGAGTAGCATTACACTTCCTTTCTTCTTTTTTTTATTCCTCTGTTGTTTTGTATAAGGAGTTAGTTTCCAATATCGATCCATTAAGAGTAAAACAAATAATTTGCCAATGTTTTTAAATTCCTGAGTACATAAAACAGTTTATTAATGATAAGATTATATGTAGCCACGTGTCTCCACTGGCTGTCTGGCAACCGTGCAGCTAAACAAAGACGACAGTAAGGAGCTGCTCCAGGCCAAAAGATAATTCCAGCATGTAACTCCCCGTGAAAAACACAATTTCTACATTTCTATTTATGTACAGATCAAACAAACAAGATATAACATGTTAATTAATGAGCTTTGGTGGTGGAGAGAGCCAGGCTAGATGTTTATAGTTTTAAGCTCTCTTTAAAGGTTTTGTTTGGGTATCGATCTTATCATTTAACTCCAGGAAAAAAAAGTATATTCTTAAAATTCCTATTCCTTTAACTTAACCTAATCAACTACAGATTATTGCCATTGAAAAATCTGGACTTGTCACAAGGAATTTTCTTTGAATCACTGGCTTCAGATGCACTATTTGCTATGAAAGAATGTGTATTCAAGTGTAGGTGATGAATTTCCTATTTTTAGTTTATTAGTTTATTTCATTTTATATTGTATCACTGTTGTTCAATGTGGAAGCTATATTTATTTTTCTGCTTTGTCTTGATTTAGACCATTCCAGTTGAGGAGCTCATAAAAGGGGATTTTAAAAGCAACTTTGAGATGCTGAAGTGGTTCAAAGCTTTCTACACAGAAAATGTCAAAAGTGAGGAATACGACCCCGTGAAAGCTCGGCACAGCCATGATATAACCCCTATCGTGGCATCTCCCAAATCGCGTAAATATAACATTTTCTTTCCCTGTGATAGTAAAATGAGGCAGTGCATTGTGTTTTGATAATTTCAATGACAGTAATTGGCTAATAACATATATTTTTTCTCTCTATCAGAAAAAAAATCAGACACTAAAGAGAACAGCAATGGAACGACCAAACCAATACACCCTTACACCGAAAAGTGGAAGGTTATGTTTGATTGGGCCGACCGCAGTACCCTCGGAGAGCAGTATACCTACTGCCGCTCTTGCGACAGGAGCCTGAGCACGTTTCATAAAGGCATTTTTGAACTTAGGCGACACATGGATACAAACAAACACAAGAAAAGGTCTAAAATGTCCAAGAGAGCCTCTGAGCCGCTGCCCTGTAGCGACGCAGCTATTCGCTTCATTTACAAACACTTTTACACCGGCTCGGCAAAAGGTGAGCAGGTGTCGAGACATTTTGCACGCTGCAAGCTGGGGTTGAAATACCCCAAAGATATCACATCTGTTTGCCAGCACACTCCTTACTGTCTATACGTTTATGGAGGGGTAACACTGGGAAACGATGACACTGTCTCCGTGGTCCTTGTTGGGTTTTTTGATGTCGAAGCCTCGCAGCACTGCATCCGATTTCTGGATGCTCTTCAGTCAGTGGGTGGTGCAGGAGATCAAACAGCAGCAGCAGTGGTGGAGACCTTGAAGAAATTCGGGTTACCAACAGATAATCTTGTCGCTGTTTATTCTGACAGCAATGATGCGGCCTCACAGCAGATCTGCTCGCAGCTCAGGGAACTCAAGCCGAACATTGTAGCCTTAGGAGGGCTGTACACCATGGCTGATGCTGCTTGCCATGCTGGCGTTAAGGAGCTCTCCAATCAGGCTCAAGGATTGATGGCGGATATCCATGCCTACTACTCCTCTTGCTCTACTAAGAACAAGCACCTCAGGGCTCTCTTTGACTCCGACGTCAGTGCAGACAGTCCATCATTTCATTTCAACACCAGCTGCCTTAAGTTCTGCCTGTTTGTTACAAAAATCTTGGAAATATGGACAGATCTCATATTGTACTTTAAGTCTTGTGACGATGAGAAAGCCAAGTTAATCTGCTCCCAGCTGCAGGATCCCAAAGTCAGGGCAACATTTATGTTCCTGGAGCAGTCCCTGAAGCCTCTGCACAGTTTCCAAACACATCTGCAGACACAGGAGGGAGCTGGCCGAGCTAATATTCTGCTCATCCTAGAAGAAGCCTGTAGCCTGCTGTGCACCTACACCTCCTACTCCCAACATCCTCAAGCTGCGAGCTCTGAACTCTGTCCGGGTGGGAAAGTTGTGGAGGACTTCCTGAAAGAGTCAGAGGCTACAGATGCACTGCCCCTGTTAAAAGAACATGTGTCGTCTTTCTACGTCGCACTCATGCGTTGCATTGCGAGGGAGCTACCTTTCGGCGAGGGGGAACTAAAGAGCATAGCTCAGCTGCTGAACCCCCAGAGCAGGCTGAAAGTGACGGGGAAGGCGGTAGGAGAGCTTGGGACCAAGCTGGGAATCTGCAGCTCCCCTGAGGAGGTCAATCAGCTCACAAGTGAATTCCTTGAGTATCAGCTGGCCGGGGAGGGAGAGGGTGAAGATGGAAAGAAGGAAAACTCAACAGAGGTGTCACTGGAGGAACACTGGGCCACCGTACTGAAGGACAACAAGCAGACCTCAAACTTCAGAAAACTTGTTTTGACCCTGTTGTCTCTCCCCTGTCCTCCACTTGAGCCTCAGCAGGTTTTCACTCAGGTGTGTAAATAAAAGAGCTGCATTAACATCTTTCATCTGTCTGTGTTTGTGTTTAGTTTCCAATTTTAACCAACTTTGTGCACTTTGTTGTCTCAGGCCCTGGAGAACGAAGATGCCGCTCTGTTCTCTGAAAGCGAAGCCTTCACTGAAAGCGAGTGTGACGTCATGTCTGACGGCGCTCTCTCCGACAGCACCAGCAGAAAAGACTTCCAACGTCCAGCTGAAGGTAAGAAGAAAGATAGTCCATCAATAGAAGAAAGTTTAATTGTTACTTAATTTACCAATAAACCGCCTTTTGTGGGATGATGATTTGTATGATTCACTTGTTAAAGGAGTTGATCTAAGTCAATGCATTGGATCCTGCATGTTATTTACAGATGTGTCCTATTTTCTCCCATCCAATGGCCTTTATGTGACAGTGAAGCCGTGTGAAGTCCGCCTTAAAAAGATAACTCGTAAGAAAAACCATTCTAAACTTTTTTTTTATTCACATCATTTACACCATTAACACCTGGAAGGTCATTATTATTTAGTGTCATTTGTTTTTATTTATTTATTTAGTTTTTAAATATATTTTGGGTTTTTGCCTTTATTGGATAGGACAGCTGAAGATTGACAGGAAAGGGGAAAGGGGGGAGAGAGGGGATGACTTGCAGCAAAGGGCAACAGGTCAGTCTGTAGTAAGGACTCAGCCTTGGTACATTTAAGTATAAATTTACTCTAAAATTAAAAGTCTTACTGTAACTTTTTGGCAGAGAAAAGAAAAACATTGTGTAAGTCTTTATATATATATATATATATATATATATACAGTTTTAAGATGTCAGAATGCTGTTATCATTATCTCTGATCTCAACTCTGAAACATACTGAAATGCTCTGTTTCTTTCATCCAAGAGCTAAAGAATGAACACTGTGACTTGTGGAAAGAGGTAACACATTTTCTTCTCTGTGTCGTCTTCTGCCTCATCTAACATCATCTACACGGAAAAGAAGCAACTTGGTTTAAAAAAAGCTTGATTTTAATGACAGCTAGGACTCAGTTGTTGCTCAGCTCTAATGTCCATAAATACTTAAAGCCACCATGAATAGTGGATAACAGAAAAAAAAACTTATTTTTGCTGCATCATATTTGGCTTCTTTCCACTAACAGTCTTTTGCCCTTTACTCACCTTCTGGTCCTTATCATCCTTATGACCAACACAATCACTGGTTTGTTGAGGTGCAGTTTGCCCCTCTATGTAAAAGAGTGTGTGTGTTGTGGTGTACATTTGCATGTGCATGATTTTTGAGTGTGTAATGGGAGTGTGTAATGGGAGTGTGTTGTCTCTCAGGGGACCAGTAGGGGGAGTTTTGGCTGGGAGAGCAGCTTGCGCCAGAAGCCACAGGCCCGTACAGTGTTTCAGGCTGGTGCTAACAACTGGTCCAAGCCCATAGATCTTGATAAGGACAACCAAAAGGGTCCGGAGTCTCAAGTTGAGGTGGTAGGTATACTCAAGTATACTACCAGAATACCACAGGTCCATAACAGGCCTCTCTGCCCTCTGAACTACTACCAGAACAAAACTAAAATTTCATACAACTAGGGTTGGAGCTTGATAGCATTCGATCAAATCTGAATCCTTTTGAATCTCACATCAAATCTCGATTTAGCTTCTTCTCATTCCCAGGTCGTCAAACACAGACGCCGACAGCGTTCAGTTAGTTGCAATCTGCCACTTTGCTGCTAGATGGCATTAAATCCAACACACTGGTCCTTTAAATTGTATTGATAAAGGCTTCAGTAGACAATAACGTTGTTTATTAAAGACTTTGTATGTGGTTGCTGGCTGTCGGAGTTTCAGTCGGCACCATCAGACCTGCAGCCGCAGTAGCTTAGAAGCTCATCAACGCGTAATGTGTGTTAATTAAAGCGAAAATATAAAGGGGCCCGGTGGAGTTTTCTCCTAAACAAAGAAAATATTTACATTCAGTGTTCACTAGCTCGCTTCGTGTTGCATTTCCATCCTCAGATGAGTATTTTACGTTGTTTACTTCCTTGTTTACTCGCATCTTCTTGATAGGACAGCGTACCTGGTCGCACTCATGCGCCCTCACGTGTGAACACTTCAACAGCTGCATAGCACTACTAGAGGTCTAAAACTCCACAGGGAACCTTTACATTGGTTATTGGTGATTGAATCATATTTGTTCTGTGAGACGACTGAGTGATAGTGACATTGAAAACACTTCCTGTTTGGTTTTTGAAAAACCGGCTATCAGAATCCAATCCTACCTCTAACACATCCTCATTTCAGATTCATCATTCGCTTTATTCACACGGTGGTCAAATTAGAAATAAGGCAAAAATAACAACGCAAGCAAAAACACATGTTCCCAAGCTTTATGCTGGCTCCCATGTTTAAATTCAATAAGTCTGAAATTGGAAAAGACCTTTCCCATGTTTGTTATTGGATATTTCCAGTTCGATTAGTCTGATACAGTATATTTCAGTACATTAAGCTGTTTTGACCAAAGCGAATGTTCATATCTTGACAATGAGGGCTCCCTTGCTTCTTGTTTTTAACAAATTCTCTCCTGGGTGTGTCACTTGAAATAAAATATAAAAAACAATTTGCATCATCATTGTTGTGGTAGTTTTAGAACCATCAAATACCGTAATAGCCATGTTTTATCTATAAGAAATACCCAAGTCCTCCTCAAGTAAATTACTTCTCGCCTTTTACGTCTTTCTGTTTTAATTGTGGTTGACTTTTAGAAAGAAGAGACATCACCGTCCAGTAAACCATCACCAAGAGGACGACGGAAACATGTTTATCAGGTAATGTAACAGTTGTATCTTGAAGAAAAATGTGTTTGATTCTTATCTTAATGTGGATGAAAATGTAGTTTTGAATAATCACTTCTGCTTTTCTCTGCAGGATGGTAAAGGGTTTCCGACCGGAGAACTTGTGTGGGGGAAAGTGAAGGGGTTCTCCTGGTGGCCTGGGATGGTGATGCCTTGGAAAACCAAGACGGCCCCGCCGGGTATGCGGAGGGTGGAGTGGTTCGGAGACGGGATGTTCTCAGAGGTTAGAATCGCAGTGCGATGTGCTCAAGCTGCAGAAACACTTCACGTGTGTTGAATTGTTTTTTATACGTTGCTTTTTTGTTACAGATCTACACGGAGGGTCTTCAGGCTTTCAGTGCCTTCACCAAGTGCTTCTGCAAAAATTCCTTCGCCAGTTTGCCCACCTACAAGGAAGCCATCTTCCAGATTATTGAGGTAGGAGATAAAAAAAATTTAAATTAAAAAATAATAATTAATTGTTCTTCATGTCTGCTGTCTTTTCTGCACCGACTTTGGTCCATTACTGCTGGAAGTTTGTGTGAAATTGCTAATTTGGATGAATTTTGAGCAGATTATTTCCTGTGATGAGATGAGTTTAGGAGATTTTCATACAATTCTCTGTCTGTGTTATGTATTTTTAGATTTGTTTTACCAATCACACATACTTAATAGACTTTTATTAAACAAAATTATTTAATTTCTTCTCCCTGACTCTCGACCATTGTTCTATTAGCTCTTTGGTTGTTTATCAGAGAGTGAAGGCTCTGTGAATATAACTCTTCAAAGTTTATACTTTAAATCATTATATTAAAACTACAACCAAATCACCTAGAGTTTGCTCCATAAATGTCGTGTGGTTTAGTGGTCAGTTCTCGTCTCATCAATATTGACATCATAAGGCAGTAGCTGTCATTTCTAACATTTTCCTTCATGATTGTGGTGAATAAGGTCAGATTTACTTCCCTCAATCTTCACTTTAAGCAGTTAAATGAGAAGGAGTTCACAATTGTTTGTTATCGGTGCATTTTAACCTTTAAAATAGATTCAACACCATTCAGTTTTTTCCATTATTCCACCAGTTTCCATCTATTCAAATGCAACCTTTCTGATATTTATTCATTCTTATCTCACTGTTGTTGTGTTTCATGTGGAAATTTGGCCACAGCGGCTATTTGGCTGTTCTTTGACTTCAAATTGGATGAAATCAGAAGGTTGGCTGATTAACTGTGAACAAGCTTTTTCTCTGAAGTGTTATTTAATAATTAATGGAAATAGAGTAATGAAATATTAACTGTTTCACAACACTAATTACCTTCCAGAGAGTGGAGAGAGCATTTGGCCCTCTCAAAGGGAACAGGGTCCAGAGATGTTTTCATGTATCGTAGTGTCAAGCTGGTGGCTCAGAAACTCTTGGAGAATGTGTCAACTCAGTGCCAAATGTTTGTAATCTGCAGTTGGCAGGTGAGCGATGTGGAAAGTCTTTCGCTGAGGCGAAAGAAAATAAAGAAAAGGAGCTGAAGCTGATGCTGGACTGGGCTTTTGAAGGATTTCTACCTACAGGACCTGAAGGATTTGTACCTCCTGGTAGGTGCACATTTATAAACATTTACTGATTAACTAATTAAATTTATAGAAAGCCTCAGCGACTGGTTCAGGGTCTGTCTGTCTGGTTCTATTAGCAACCGTCTTTTTCTTTTTATCTCTTCAAGATGCTGCTGCACATCAAGATTCTTCTGACTCCTCTGCCCTGTCTGACTGCCAGCCTCCAGCAAAAAGGAAATATGTTTTAAAAAATAAGGCAGCTGCACATGCCATTACCTATAGCAGAGGTTTGTGTTACTTTTGTCCACATTTAGTCACCAAACGTAACAACAAACTATTGGTTTTATGTTATTATCATCATTATTTTTCTCTATTTGTTACATTTTACAGAATCAATTAGAGAAAATGTCAAAGAGAAAGGCAAAACAATTGAAGGTAAGTTTTGAGTATTGAAGATTGTGATTTAAAAAATGTCTTTGATATGAACATAACATTTTAAGTTAATGGTGATGGTTTGTTATTTCAGATTTTTGTTTGTCTTGTGGATCATCTGAGCTTGAAGTCAGGCACCCGTTGTTTGAAGGTGGTCTTTGTCTAAAATGCAAGGTAAACTAATAACCTGATGATCTATCTCTGTCTACTTTTATGTGGTCTGCTTTACTCCATCCCAGTGCCAGTTTGTGAATGTCTAACCTCCATCTGAAACACAGCCGCTATTAACATCCCAAATGCTGCCAAACGTCCGTGTTACTGTTTGCAGGACAACTTCATAGAGACGCTGTATCGCTACGATGAAGACGGCTACCAGTCGTATTGCACCGTGTGCTGTGCCGGCTCAGAGGTCATTCTGTGCGGCAACGCCAGCTGCTGCAGGTAAACACTGCTGAGGTGTTATCTCTCAAGACGGCGTGCCATGTTTATTGTTTTATTTTAATATTTTGAGTCATGATACACAACATAATTTAAATTTTAGAAAATAAAAAAGAAGGCTAGAAAATAACAAACCCCCTTTAAAAACATCTTCCTGTGTTTTTATTAACTTCTGTTGGGTGTTTATTTTTGTTGTCTGTACATCTTTTGCACAGATTACATTAATAAGTTATTCTTATTGGCTTTTTGCTTGCAAACTTTTTGTGGAACTTGCAGTAGCGCGGTGAGTGTGAGCTCTCCACCGTTGTCTGTCACTCCTCTGAGCAGGGGCTGGGCCCATGGTAAAAGACCAGGGGGTGTTTCTCTTACAGACAGGAGAGAGATTGGAGGGGAGACAGTGCAGAGTTTGATAGTTGCTGACGGCTGCACTCGATACATTGCTGTGCATTAAAGCTGTGCGACAGCTGACGTAAAACACAGGATCAGATTTGGCTTAATATAGCTCAATATAGCTGATACAGAGCAGTTAAAAAAATGCCTTGATCGGCCCTGATATCTCTCCTTGAGATCAGATCGGGACATCCCTGTTTGTTAGTTATTCTCACCTAAACAGAAAACATTCTTCTGGTTGTCCTGATGTATTTCTGACCACACTCCAGCCTAATTTAGGAAATAGCAATCATGGCCAATGACACCAGTCGCTCTGTGTTCAGATGGCTCATGCTAACCACATGCAGTCTGCACGGTTAACATTTTGTTCCCTCTGTGTCCCAGATGTTTCTGTAAAGACTGCCTGGACATCCTGGTGGGCCCGGGAACCTTTGACAAGCTGAAAGATGTTGATCCCTGGAGCTGCTACATGTGCGACCCTTCACAGTGTGACGGAAACCTCAAACTCAGACCGGACTGGAGGGTTAAAGTTCAAGACTTCTTTGTCAACAACAGCGCACTGGAGTTTGTATGTACCACACTTTTACTCTCTCAGTGCACGTTTCTGGTTCACGTCAGCTTAAGTTCTCACCAAGTTTATCATTTAACATCCAGCGTTATCCAATACAACAATTTTACAACCACTGTAAAGTTTATTATCAGAGAGGCGTTTATTCAGCTCTGTGGTCATTTTGGAGATAGAACTTTGTTGGTGCTGTTTAATAGTTAATTATGGAAAGATGATTCTCCTTTCAGCATACAAAATATTAATTATTAACGCCTAATAACTTTAACTTAAGTTTCAATGTAAAAGTGTCTCCTGCTTTGTTTAAAATCCTGTAAAACAGCAGAAATGTCAGCAACATAATATTAGTTCAAGAATTAAATCAAAACATATTCAATTATTAGTTAGTTTGATGGGTAAAATACCTGATTCCACGACTGTTTTATACATTTATATCATACAGTCATGTGAGTGAAGCTTCAAATTAACCTTCGTCTTTGTTTTAGATGATTAAAGTGTGTTAAAGGTGATATTAAATGAGCAAATTAATCCTCTTTTACTCTAGTTGTGGCTGAAATGAGAAGATTAAATTTAGGCTACTATTAGATTGGGGGAAAAGAAAATGATTATTTTAATTATTAATTAATCTGCAGATTATTTAATAGATTAATTGAACGTTTGGTCTATAAAATGAATTTGAATTTGAAATGATATAAAACAGAAAAAACTGTTTAATAAAATATATTTCTCTGAAACTTGAGGTGTCTGTTCATGAAACAACTCAAATAATTAGTTGACTATGAAAATAGTTACCAATTAATTTTATGTTGATCAGCTATAATTTTGCAAATACATAAAGACACGAGTTAATGTGAAAGTTCACTCTTAGTACTTTCTTTGTGACAGAACAAATAACCAGCTCATACAGCAGCTTGTAGGCACATAACAATTGTCTCTGGCTGTGTGCACTGTTATCTAACTGACTGGTTTCTGTTTCACCTCAGGAGCCTCACAGAGTTTACCCGTCTATCCCCGCTGATCAGCGCAGACCGATCAAGGTGCTCTCGCTCTTCGACGGCATTGCAACAGGTTGGTTCCCAACATCATGTGACAGTAAACCCAGATAAACTCTTCCAGTTGTTTATAACAGTGGTTCCCAACCTTATTACTGAAGGGACTCTTTTCTATCATTGATTAAATTGACGACCCCTGTGATATATTTTATGCATAAAATTCAATTCAATTCAAACTTTACAATAAACCCAAACAGTGAACACAATAACTGCTGGAAGTTTGTGTAAAATGGGCAATTTGGATGAATTTTTAGCAGATTATTTCCTGTGAATATTAATTAGAGATGAGTTTTTCTTAAATTTTTAGGACATTTTTATACAATTCTCTGTCTTTGTTATGTATTGTTTAATTTGTTTTACTAATCACTCATACTTAATAGACTTTTTTTGGACAAATTCAGTTAATTTCTTCTCCCTGACGCTCAGACATTGTTCTATTAGCTGTTTAGTCGTTTATCAGAAAGTGAATGCTCTGTGAATATAACTCGTGTTCAGCCCTTCAAAGTTTAGAACTTTAAAAATAACAATTCATTTAGTTTTCTTTACAGAATCTGACTAAATACTGAGAAAAAGACCTACTGTGTATATTTTAAAGTCTTTTTACACCCCTAAAATCATGAAAGTCTCGACTTCTAGGTTGGGAACCACTGTTTTATACATTAGTCAGAAGAGGAGCTTCAAGTCAGACAGTTACCTGAACCAAAAGTAGAATTTCAACCTGCTTTCAACTACTGTGGCATCCTGACAGGATACCTGGTGCTCAAAGACCTGGGCTTAAAGATGGAGCGCTACATTGCTTCGGAGATTTGTGAGGATTCGATCGCTGTGGGGATGATCAAGCACGAGGGAAAGGTCGAATACGTCAATGATGTTCGTACCATCACGAGGAAACATGTGAGTACAAGCTGGAGGAAGATTACTCAAACAGCAACCACTGAAAACAAATCTGAACTCACCTTTAACTCTGTAATCTGTGCATTTTAGTTCATTTCTGAGAGTATTTATAACAAAGAGGCTAAAAACAATATAAAAATGCAAACTTAACCTAATCTCTCTAATTCAGCTTGCTGAATGGGGCCCATTTGATCTTCTGATTGGAGGCAGTCCGTGTAACGACCTGTCCATGGTCAATCCTCTTCGAAAAGGATTATTTGGTACGTAGCTTCTGAGCGTCTTTTTAAAGTTTTCAGATAAAATACTGGAGAGAATAAGGTCCCAGTAGACATCCTGTACACCCATAAACTCTCCTTCTTTAATAGTTATCTGTGTTTATCTCCCTGTTTGTCCTGCAGAGGGCACTGGAAGGCTCTTCTTTGAGTTCTACCGCATATTGACCATGCTGAAGCCGAAAGAGGACGACGACCGTCCGTTCTTCTGGTTGTTTGAGAACGTGGTTTTCATGAGTGCCAACGACAAATCGGATATCTGCAGATTCCTTGAGGTGATGATATATTTTATTACACACACAATGGCAGAGAACAAACTGCATTAAGTCTTATCGCTCAATATTTGTGTTTTCCTTTTTTCCCCCAGTGTAATCCAATTCTTATCGATGCAGTGAAAGTCAGTCCTGCTCACAGAGCGCGCTACTTTTGGGGAAACCTCCCTGGGATGAACAGGTACATACTAATTCCTTTCTTCATGCATATTCTCACACTGGAAGACACAAATGTATTCCTTAAGAAACATTTTCACTTAACACGGCTGCATTTCTCTTATAGACCTCTGGCTACAGCTCTAGATGACAAAGTGGCGCTCCAGGATTGTTTGGAAGTCGGACGCAAGGCAAAGGTAGAAACATTTAGTTATTAAGATTATACATTTCCTACTCTCAGTTGTAGTTTGCTGTTGTTGAAGCAACCAGGAAACAGGGTATCTTGATTAAAGAGCATTGAAATGAGGTTCCTCAAAACAAAAGAAGGATCTTAGAAGGTATAAAAAAGTCTTATATTTCATTTACAAAAGCATTTCTCTTGTCTGCTGTAATCTTAGATATAATTTTGTATCTGATTGCGGGCTGACGGGAGGCGCTTATAAACTAAAAGGAGCAGTGGATTGTGCTGCAGGAGGCTGTTCAATCCTTTTTCAGTCAGCAATATCAGACCTGTAGCTAACACAATAACTCTTGATGATATAATTGATCATATGATGAAGTTAATTTAAGTTTTTGCTAAAATCAGGCAAAACATTTGCCCATTATGAGACTATATTATCACCTCGTCAGTCGTCTGTGAAGCACTTTGAACTGTAATAAACTGCATGAAAGGTGCTATACAAAATAAAAGTTTGATTGATTGAATCAGGTATTAAACTGTATTCTCTGTGATATAAAAAAATAGACCTAAATCTAACTCAGTGAACGCTGCAGAAAACCTGGATGAAAGCTTACTTTCTGATTCTTAAAACACCCTGATTGTGATTTGTCGTCTCTTCCTGCAGTTTGACAAAGTCCGCACCATCACGACAAAGTCTAACTCTATAAGACAGGGCAAGATGGGGCCACTACCCGTCAACATGAATGGAAAGGAGGACTACCTGTGGTGCACCGAAATGGAACAGTAAATATTTTCATATCAGAGCTATGATCTCATGTTTAGGATATATATATACACACACATATACACATATATATATACACAGGGCTTGTGTCTATATAGAGTTATTTTCTGAGCACCCGCGTCTTTTTTCAGTTGTTCAGCAACATGCTGCTGCAACAGGGCTCTGAATGTTTTGTGCAGCCACTTAAGTACAGTCCGTTTATCATAAACAAATGTCACACACCACAACATTTATAGTCTTAGCTACTTTGCAATGCCTGTCTCTGGATGGCCCTTTAAAATACATAAAACTCTACAAATACACAAGAAGCAAAACCCACAAACTCAAAGTATTAAAACTGTTAAAAGTCTCTTCCACTGCAGCCATACTTTGCTTTCCTGTCTGTTTTTATACACTGTTGCTATCTAATAAAGCCAAAAACATAATTAAAAAAAGAAATAAAAGACTAAAGTTGAGCCAGATTCTGCCACAACTTTGGTCGTTACCTCGTCACAACTATTTTTTTTCAATATTTCCCTTGTGGTTGACTCTTAGGATCTTTGGCTTCCCCAAACACTACACGGACGTGAACAACATGGGCCGGATGCAGAGGCAGAAAGTCCTGGGTCGCTCCTGGAGCGTCCCTGTTATCCGTCACCTCTTCGCTCCGCTGAAGGATTACTTTGAATGTGAATAGCGACTGTGAACACAACATTCGGTAAAAAAAACCTCCTGCCTTATCCTGCCCTGCGTCACTGGGTAGTTCAAACTCTCCTGTTTCATTTGGCATTTAATGTTTTAACTTTTAGAAACGAATCCTGTGAGTTCTCAGTCGTCCACTATCACCAGCAGGCACCGACACTTTTCAGTTTTAAGGTTTATTTCTTTCAGGTCTCTTTTGATAAATGATGGTGCTGTTTTCAAACCATACTGTCGCTCAGAACTCGAGCCTGAATCACGAGCCGTTCTCAGAAGGTTAGCCGGCTATCTTTCGGCTTAACTCAGGTTTTCCAGGGTCACAAAGCTGGTTTACTTTTAATAAATCACCATGGTAACCTGCTGTGAAAATACTGAGTTTACAATGAAGTGATAAAAGTTGTAATAGAGACATTTTTATACATCAGTAGAATAACAGCGATAAGCCAAGTGACCCAAAGAGAGACTTTGAGTCACAGCTTTTTTTTCTCCTGTATTTAATGAATGTACTTTATGTTAACTTTCCTCCTACATTGTCGGTATTTTATATAGTTTTATTGTATAATCTTACCAGGGATTTTAAATCTGATCTAATCGTTAGCTGTGATTAATTTCTATGACTGAATCCCTCTAGACAATTTTTTTAATCTGCTTTTTAAAACATTTTTAATCCAAATTACATTTCACCTCACTGTGGTGCACCGGTGATTTTCTCCTCATTGGATCTGCACATTTTTATCTGTTTTAATGAAAAGCTATTTATGCAAGATAATGCAAAATATCATGTTTCTACAAACATTCAAACTGCCCTGAGTGTGAGTATTAGTGTAGTAAGAACACTACTGCAGAGGTCTGACTTTAAACATAATGTGCAGTGTCTGCTAACATTGGA